ATATATATATATATATATATATATATATATATACACCTATAGGTATAGATGCAAGCGGGCTCGCGCGCAAGAATTGTAGGATGTAGGCTTTAGGGTTTACGGTTTAGGGTTTAGGGTTAAGCCTTTAGGGTTGATGGTTTACAGCTAATGGCCTCGAAGAAGCAACAATTAGGGAATTAGCAGATGAAGCTCTGACCTCACGGTTTAGGGTTTAGGGTTTAAGTTTTAGGGTTTAGGGTTGAGAGTTTTAGGGTTTGGACCCTAAACCCTAAACCCTAAGTCCGTACGGCTTAGGGTTTCTTCAGTTAGCCTATACAGTTTTCTGCATTCATATTATTTATTTTCTTTTCATTTTATTTTATTTTATTTTAAAATAATAATTAAATGCTCAGGCACTGCTGCCTTCCAGCAGCGGCGGGGCTGCTGTGTGGGGCCCCATCCCGCTGCATGCATGCAGCACAGCAGAAGCAGCAGCAGCAGCAGCAGCTGCTGCTGCTGCTGCGCCTTCTTTTAAGGCACTTCCTGCGGGTTTGCTGCAGACTTACGTGGAAGCATTATACGCTGGCTGCTCCTGCTGCTGCTGCTGCTGCTGCTGCATGCGTTGCTGCTCCTTTACTACCTGATTCTCTTTTGCTTCTCTTTTTTGCTACAAGTTTCATAAATTATATTTATTTACAAAATAACTTTTGTGAAGGGAGCGGAAGGCTGGGAAAAGGACCTGAAGAAGGAGGAGGAGCAGCAGCAGCAGCTGGCGCAGCAGCAGGCGCAGCAGCAGCAGCGGCAGGTGCAGCAGCAACTGCAGCAGCAGGATTATCAACAGAAGTTGCGCTGCCTGCAGCAGCAACGGCACCAGCAGCAGCCACGTGAACAGCAGACGCAGCAAGAAGGCAATCTTCTGCTGCAGCAGGACCACCAGCAGCAGGACCAGCAGCAGCAGCAGCAGCAGCAGCAGCGTCCAGGATGGCGAAGGGCTTACGCTGCAAGACAAAGAGGGCCTTTAGGGCTGTAAAGAGACAGCATGTCTCTAATACAGTAGAGGTGCAGCGCATGCAAACACTGCAGCAGCGGCTGCTGATGTTGCAGCAGGGTCAAGACCCTATGCTGCTGCAGCGGAGGCCCTTGAATAAGTTCTTACATCCAGGTCTGTCTATACACCCGAGATAATGCTAGTTTAATTTCACTATATTTGTCTCTTTAATCTCTCTTTTTCTGTCTCTTCTAGCCCCCCTTACTTCTCTCTTCTTACTGTCTCCTTTTATGTGTCTCCTTTTGTTGTTTTTGTCTCTTTTTATCTTCTTCTTTACCTCCTTTTAAGCAGAAATATATAAAATATATATAAAGAAACAAATGCAAAGATATACATAAATTAATCAACAAGAGCGTTTAGCCTCTGAGTTTATTAGGGTTTAGGGTTATTAGGGTTTAGGGTTTTGTTAGGTTTTTTTTGTTTTTGTGTCTCTTGCGCTGTCTCTTTGTCTCTCTTTTTCTCTCTGCCTCCCTTGTTGATTAATTTAACGACAGTTTATATATTGATTAATTAATCTTATAATTAACTAATGCATTTATTTCTTTATATATATTTTATATATTTCTGCTCAAGATAGTTTATTATTTTATTATTTTATTTATTTATTTATTTATTTATTTATTTATTTATTTCCTTGTTAATTAACAACAAAAATATATCTTATTAATTAATTTATAATTAATTAATGTATTTATCCCTCTACACATTCTTTTTATTTATTTATTTATATATTTATATATTATTTATTTATTTATTTATTTATTTATATATTTATTTATTTATTTATTTATTTTTTATGTTTGCATGCAGACGCAGAAGACGCGGAGTTTCCTCAGCGTTTGCCGGTGGTGTCTCCACTTGATTTTCGTTCGTCTTCTTTACCTTTTGCTGGTTTAGTCGGAAGGGGTCAAAGAAAGAAGTATAATGTAGAAGAAAGATTAGAGTTAGTTAAGGCATTCGGCTCATTACCTGGCAATACAGAGGGACCCCTAGTTAAACAAACAAAAGATTATATATACGCAGCAGAAAACAATAATGACAATATGCTGCAGTCTATGCAGCAAGATCTTCACTCAACCAGCAGCAACAACAACAACAACAGCAGCAGCAGCAGTGATGCAGCAGCAGCAGAAACAGCAGCACAAACAGCAGCAGCAGCAGGAGGAGCAGGAGACAGCATGGATACAGAGACCTTTGATTATACCCCACCTCTTAAAAGCATCCCTATTGTTAAAAATACACTCAAACAACACCGCAGCAAAAGAGCAATCAAACGCTCAAGACATAAACATAAATAAAACCATCTGCTGCTTCAGAAGCAGCTGCTGCTGCAGCAGCTGTTGCACACCTGCTGCTTCAGTTGCTGCAGCAGCAGCTGTTGCACACCTGCTGCTCCAGCTGCAGCTGCTGCTGCTGCTGCTGTGCAGCTGCTACCCAGTAACACCAAGCAGCACCTGTCA